TTTTTTTTTTTTTTGAAGCTAAGGGGAGACAGGTCCTTTGATAAGTTGTTGGTCTTGTTTTGATAGTTATTCTTCCTCTGCTCTTTGGTTGATGGAAACCCATCTTTTCCTTTTGAGTTACTCTTGGAATGACTAACATGTAGATCATGATTGTGTTGGTTCTTCTATTTTTCTTCCACAGAGTATAAATGTGCATTATGACAATGGTTTACGTGATTGTCTCATGCTCTAGTTTGAAATAAAACACTTGGATTAATCGGAATTCACTGCTGATTATATATGTTTGAACAGCAATCGTCTAATAAATTTTATTTGGTCATAACTAGTAATTATAAGTCTATACCCACCTATTCCCATTCACTTAAAATTCATATTTTTGCTTTGCTTTGTGAAGAGATTCCTTTTGCTTTGCTTTGTAAAGCTGATTGTATTGAGGTGTTTTATGAATTCATTCAGTAGTCCTTTTTTAGATGCTATAGGGGGATTAAACATGAAGAATTACGATGAATTCAAAAGGGAGGATTTTAGGAAAAGAATAATTTTTGTCAGATATTTTGAAGTACTAACGTAACCTGATGGATGTATGTGTATACACATATAAGAATATGTGTATATATAAGAACCTTATAATCTGCACCACGTAGTCTATGTCTGGAAATATTACTGGAGAGACTGAGCGCCGTGACAAGCTTGATGAGGGCTTGTGATTCAAGTCTCTCAAGTAAAGGAGAATATTTAACACTCTTTTTCCTTTTAGTTCTACCAGTTTTCTGTTGGAAATCAGAAAGAAGGAAGGCTTCTGTGCCATGGCCACTACCCTGAAATCCTCGTTGTGGATGCCACCAGCCTTGAGGTGTTATACTCCTTAGTATCAAAGATCTCTCCAGACTGGATTAGCTCCATGAGTATTATTCGATCCCATCGAACACAAGGTCAGTGTGTGGCGTCCTTTAGGAACTTCAGTACCCTGACGTTGACGGGTGGTTTCCTGTAGAGTTTTGTAATGCATTGTATGTGATACAAACCGTAAGCATAATACATAAACAAGAAGTTTGAGGGAAGGAGAGGGGGCATCAGAGGTTGACAGAGTTGGCGGGGGTGGGGCAGATCATGGAGGACCTTGTGTGCTAGCTAGGGAACTTGGGTTTAGTCCTGTAGATTGGGTTTGGCAGACTTGTACTAGAAAGGACCACATACTAAATATTGTAGGTTTTGCAGGCCATATGATGTGTGTTTCAGTTCTGCCAGTGTAGCACAAAAGCACATAGATAGTACATAAGTGAACGAGCCTGTCTGTGTTCCAATAAAATGTTATTTAATTTAATTTATTCTTTTTTTGAGAGAGAGTATGAGTGGGGGAGAGGGGCATATGGAGAGAGAGAATCTTAAGCAGGCTCTATCCCATTGCCCTGGAATCATGACCTGAGCCGAAATCAAGAGTCGGACACACCCAACTGATTGAGCCACCCAGGCGCTCCCAAGAAAACATTATTTACAAAAACAGCCAGTGGGCTAGATTTGATCCATGAGCTGTAGCTTTTTGGCCCTGGCAGTCAATGTTGGGCGGTGTCTGATGATAATACTTGAAGGGACTTCTGTTTTAAACATCACTTTGGTGCCATTGTTGAGAATGGTTTAGGTGGGAGATGGTTTTAGTACCCCCAGGTGACTGGTGCAGATCTGAAGTCCAGCAGTGGCTGTGGACATAGAATGGATGGGTTTGCAGCACTTCCCAAGGCTCGTTAAAGAGTGTTGATTCTGAAGGGTGTTAATAGGTATTAGTGAAAAATGAGGGTCCAGGTCAAATATATTAGGGAGATGTTCAGTGAAATAAAATTGAACAGACTTCTTTAATGTGGGAATTTCTCATGTAGAGGCTTTTTTTTTTTTAATGTTTATTTATTTATTTTGAGAGAGAGTGTGTAAGTAGGGGAGGGGCAGAGAGAAAGGGAGAGAATCCTAAGCAGGCTGCACACTGCCAGAAAAGAACCTGATGCAGGGGCCTGATCTCCCAAACCGTGAGGTCATGACCTGAGCTGAAATCAAGAGTTAGATGCTTACCTGGCTGAGCCAGTCATATGCCCCTCAAGTAGAGGCTTTTTAATGCCTATTGGAGAATTACTGCTTTATTTCTGAACACAGCAGTGAAAAGTATTTTTTTAACCTTCACCTTCTTCATTTTCCAGGCAAAAGGGAGCTCCTTGTTAGTGCATTCCCCTTAATCTTAGTTATAATCAACATTTTCTTTGAAAAAAGGACTATATTTGGGGTGCCTGGGTGGCTCAGTCGGTGAAGCAGCTGACTTTGCCTCAGGTCACGTTTTCACGGCTTGTGAGTTTGAGCCCCCTCACCTGGCTCTCTGCTGTCAGCGTAAAGCTTGGTTCAGATCCTCTGTCACCCCCTCTCTCTGCCCCTTCCCGGCTTGTGCTTGCCCTCTCTCAAAAAATAAACATTAAAAAAATTAAAGAAGCAGTTTGCACGTTTGTTTTAAATTTTTGCACTATTTCCACATGAGGTACACTTACTTGGCTGTGGTCTGAACAGGATAGGATGTAACTTTGATGAAAGCTTTGGTGCTGTGCATGCACAGTAAATGTTACTATCATAATGTTGCAGCATATGTAATTTTTAATCTGCAGTTGCCATAGTATTCTAGTCTGTGGATATTTGAGCTTTTTCGATATGCTAGGATGTTCCACTTTTACTATGGATTGACGGGCTTGTGAACAGTTGTTAGAGCATCTCTGTACAGTGTCAGGACATGTAATCACTGTGTTCCAGGGCCTTGCCTTGCCTACAGAACAGTCTAATATGATGAGGTTTTTATTTAAAGACAGCAAATGGTTCTTTTTAATAAAAGTAATAACTCCTCTCGATTAATATGCTGAATGCTTATATCTGGGGTGTGTCTTAATTTTCATAACAACCCATTAAGCTAGATACTGTTGTTATTCATTTGTATTTGCTTACAGATAAGCATCTCAGATACACAACCTAACCTTACACCTTAACAGCTAGAAATAAATAAAACCCCAAACCAGCAAATGAAACCCCAAACCAGCAGAAGACAGGAAATAAGATTAGAGCAGAAATCAATGCTATCGAAACCAAAAAAAACAGTAGATCAATGAAACCAGAAGCTGGTTCTTTGAAAGAATTAACAAAATTGATAAACCACTAGCCAGCTTGATCAAAAAGAGAAAGGAAAGGACCCAAATAAAATCAAGAATGAAAGAGGAGAGATCACAATCAACACAGTAGAAATAAAAACAATAATAAGAGAATATTATGAGCAATTATATGCCAATAAAATGGGCAAGCTGGAAGAAATGGACAAATTCCTAGAAACATATACACTACCAAAACTGAAACAGGAAGAAATAAAGAATTTGAACAGACCCATAACCAGTAAGGAAATCGAATTAATAATCAAAAATCTCCCAAAAAACAAGAGTTCAGTGCCAGATGGCTTTCCAGGGGAATTCTACCAAACATTTAAGGAAGACTTAGCACCTATTCTCTTGAAGCTGTTCCAAAAAATAGAAATGAAAGGAAAACTTCCAAACTCTTTCTATGAAGCCAGCATTACCTTGATTCCAAAACCAGACAGAGACCCTACTAAAAAGAACTATAGACCAATTTCCCTGATGAACATGGATGCAAAAAACCTCAACAAGATATTAGCCAACCGGATCTAACAATACATTAAAAAAATTATTCGCCACGACCAAGGGGGATTTATACCTTGTCTGCAGGGCTGGTTCAATATCCGCAAAACAATCAATGTGATTCATCACATCAATAAAAGAAAGGACAAGAACCACACGATCCTCTCAATAGATGCAGAGAAAGAATTTGACAAAATACAGCATCCTTTCTTGATAAAAACTGTCAAGAAAGTAGGGATAGAAGGATCATACCTGGAGATCATAAAAGCCATATATGAAAGACCCAATGCTAATGTCATCCTCAATGGGGAAAAACTGAGAGCTTTCCCCCTAAGGTCAGGAACAAGACAGGGATGTCCATTCTCACCACTGTTACTCAACACAGTATCAGAAGTCTTAGCCTCTGCAATCAGACAACACAAAGGATTAAAAGGCATCCGAATTGTCCAGGAGGAGGCCAAACTTTCACTCTTTGCAGAGCACATGTATTTGCTTACAGATAAACAGACTGAATTTAAGACAGATTAAATTACCCATAGTTCATTGGTTAGTGAAGAAAATGTGATTTTAGCACATATCTCCCTCTTTCTGGAGCCTGCATTTACCTGCTTTTCAGTGTCTCTGCTCACAAAGTTATTTATGCTGTCATGGAGCTATGACTGCTTCTTACTGGAAGCTTATGAATTCAGATTTTATATCATGTCTTCTCTTGATCACAGTCTATAGAGGGTGTAATGTGTCATAAAATGTTAGAAGGCAGGCAGGTGGATGGGAAAGTGAGGAAATGTGTGTCTTCAAGAAATTGAGTGTGCTCATCCATGATAAGTAATTACAAATTGTGAATTTGGAAGAATAAACCTTCATTAAGTCATCACGTAATCATAGTGATCAGGAACATTTGAAATTATTAAAAGCTAGTTGATCAGAAATAAAAGAATTCAAGCTGTGTACAACTTTTCCTTGACTTTCAAATTTGTGAACTGTTATGTTTCAAAATCTGTTTTTTATTTCATGAAATATTGAATTATGTTTTTATGCCAGTTGAAAAGCATTATTACTTAATTTTATTAACTTGAACCATGTTACTATTTAGAAAGAAAGCATATTATGTTTATAACCTTGGCTTCTTCGTCCCTCTCTACTTAGAGGATACTGTGGTAGCCCTTTCAGTGACGGGCATCTTGAAGGTGTGGATTGTCACCTCTGAAATAAGTGGCATGCAGGTGAGGCAAATGTTCTGTTCTTGCAGTCTTCAATTTTAGTGATGATAGGCCCCTCCTTTTTTTCTTTTTTCTTTTTTTTATTAGAGAGAGAGAGAGAGAGAGAGAATGAGAGAGAAAGAATGAATATCTTAAGCAGGCTCCACGCTCAGGGTGAAGCCTGATGTGGGGCTCGATACCACGACCGTGGGATCATGACCTGAGCAGAAATCAAGAGTCGGATGCTCAACCGACTGAGCCACCCAGGCGCCCCTCCCTTTTTTCTTAAAGCGCAAGGAAAAAGCTATTCTTTTTCGAGAGCCTTCTTGCCATAGTATTAGAACATCCCCTACTCTGCTGTCTCTGTAAGTGCATTATGTTTTTCACTTTTGATAGCAGACATCTGTTCTGTCAAGGACATGAAATAGAGAAACATACTGCATAGGATATAAAGTAGAGAAACCTAGAAGAGCTGGGATTTTTCTCAGTTGCTTCTATTAAAGTTAAAAGATAGTTTGCTTGAGGGGAAAAAAAAAATAAAGTAAACCAACACAAAAAGTATGTGAAGCCAATTTTAGTTTCTCTCTCTCTCTGTTCTTTGGGCTTGAATTCCTTGTAACTTTTTGTCAGTAGGAAAGGCAGATCAATATTCTGACAGTATCGATGCTAATCTCTTCAGCTAGGGAATCTTTACACGTTGAATTTGGGAGGACCTAGAGGAATTGATCAGTTTTTGTTCTGTTTTTTTTTTTTTTTTTTTTTTTTTTTTTTTTTTTTTTTTTTTTTTAACCCACAAGGACATACAGATACAGAGTTTAGGATCAACTCAAACTTTTATCATCTGTTATTGTCGTAGTGATGACACTCTGATTCTCATCAGTGTTTTAATCTTGAATAGCTTTGTAGCAAGGCATAGTGCCCAGATATTTTTGGAGTGTATCTTTGCTGCTTTTTATTATCTTGGTTCTCACATAAGTGGCTAAAATGATGAATATACCAAGTGATGTCTTTCTTTCATTTTATTTATCATTGTATGATAATTTTAATCAACAGCCAAACCATTCCTGAAGTTCTATAAATCTTTCTCTTTTCAGGATACTGAGCCAATATTTGAGGAGGAATCCAAACCAATTTATTGTCAGAATTGCCAAAGCATTTCTTTTTGTGCATTCACACAAAGATCGCTTTTGGTTGTGTGCTCCAAATATTGGAGGGTAAGATAACTACATAAGTAAGAAGCTGTATTTTTACCCTTCAAGGTGTTGGTTTATCAAACTTCCAAAGACAATTATAAGGAAGAGCTTAGTGCAAGAATATTTTAACCATTTGGAATTCATGTGTGATTTTGATATCAAATTTTTAGGTGTTGGGGTTTGGCTGTATATAGTTATCTTTTTGTATTTTGGTTTATAGAATGCTTCAGAATAATGATTATTCTGTTGATCTTAATTTCGTCCCTTTGCTACTGTTTCAGTCATTATTTTCTCAGTGCAACGTAAGCAGTGGTGGTGAGTTTTCTGCAGGTTGACCCGTCTTTGTTGTTATTCCCAGTTGCCGTTCCCTTCTGCTTTCTTGGATCTGGCATCACTTCTGAGCTACTGATGGCAGGAGTATATTACTTCCACATTGTGAGACTTCAGTATTTCCATAGTAGAAAAAGAGCCAGCATGTTTTGACCACTCGTGCCTAGCAGAGTTTTCAAAGCTTTCCCTGCATTATTTCTTTTAATCCTCACAACTCCCTGAGGGGAAGTCTATTAGTTACCTAATCCTGCATAACAGATTACTTTAAAACTTCGCAGTTTCAAACAATAAACATGTATCACCCCCCCATCTGGTTCATGTATCGCCACCCCCGCTGTGAGTCAGGAATGTGGGCACAGCTCAGCTGGGTGCTGTGGCTCAAGGTCTCCCACAGGCTGCAGTCAAGGTGTCAGCCAGGATGACAGTCTCGTTCCAGGAATCACCTAGGGTGGTTCTGCTTCCAGGCATACTCACTTGGTGGTTAGAAGGCTTAACGTCCAGCTAACTTGGCTGGAGGCATCAGTTCCTTGCCATGGGGGCCTCTCCCAGCCTGGGAACGGTCTTCCCTCAGCTTGAACAAGCAAGAGAAATTGTAGCCAAGACCCACCTGATCTGGCGACTGCAGTCTCCTCTCTTCTCCCACATTCAGTTGTTTAGAAAGTCACAAAATCCTGCCTGTGCTCAGGGGAGAAGATTGCACAAGGGTATGAGTACCAGGTCGGGGCAGTTTTGGAGGCTGTCTGCCACGGCAGGGATTGTTACTTTCCCCATCTTGTAGGTGAGGCGCTGGGGGCTTGGGGACACAGAAAGCTTGACTAAGGTTGTACAGGTGGTTGTGGAGTTGCTGGGTTACAACTCAGACGGCCTGACTGCAGCGGCTGCTCTCATCGCCACCATGTGATATGCCTCAGAGGGCACCGGCTTGGTAGCGACGGACCGACTAGGGCCGCCGGTGGTACCTACCTTAACCTTATCCTTGCCACTGCTACTGTCCTGGAATCAGATTAGAGGAGAAGCTAGCAGTTGCTTAGTTACAGTAAGCTCCATGGGATCCTTCGTCTTAAAATTTAAAGCACTTGTAAGTGGTAAAACACCAGAGTGCAAGAGGACACAGTGAAAAGTATACATCCTTTTCCCCTGGTACTTTTCCTTGTCCTCCCCAGAGGCAGTGCTAATACCAGTTTCTCGTGTGTTCGTAATAAGCATCTTACAATCACGTGAGAACAGAAGAAAAAGACAATCCAGTAGGAAAATGGACAAAAACGTTTCATGAAAGGAGGAAGTCGATGGATGATAAATTTAGAAAGGTGCTCAGCTTCATTAACCATCAGGGAAAAGCATAGTAAAACAACTGAGGTAGCACTAGTAACTTACTAGAATGACTTTTCCAGATATTTATTGCCAAAAAGAAGTTTTCTGTTTTAATATGGTTACATTATCATCTTTTATGGTTTCTTTTTTTTCTTTTCCTTCTTTTTATGGTTTCTAATATAATTTGTGACATGTTCTAAAGGGCTCTTCATAAGCTAAGCTTTAAAAATTTTTTATTTCATTATCCCTAATATTTGTATAGTTTTACTTTATATACCTTTGAATATTCAATTTGGAATTTATTTTGTATAAATTGTAAGATGTAGGTCCAATTCATTTTTATTCCTGATGGACCCCCAGTTCCTGATGCCATTTGTTGAATAATTTATTTTTCTATTGTGATGCTTTTATAATATATACTCTCTTCCTGTAATTACCGGAATCTGTTTCTGAACTTGTTAGTTTTTCTGTTTATGCATCAGTACGATATTGTTTTATTTTCTGTAGCTTTATAATTTGTTTTAATAGATAATAAGGCTGGAGGGTGGTCTCCAGTCTTTCTTGGACTTGGCTATTCTTGTAGTGTTAATGTTATAAATGATAAATATGTCCACTCTTGGTAAATTCAGCTGGGATTTTTTTCAGTTTCAAGAAAGCTGTGCATGAACAATTTGATTGCTTTTTATTTAAAGAAAACTAAAATAAAAATTCTGGGCCATTGAATTACTTATTTCTCCTGGGGAAATTTTTTAGCACTGTAAAATACACTATCACCAAATATTGAAAGTGGTAGAAAAATTCTTCTAGGAATTATGAGGTAAGGGTTTTAGTCCTAGCTCTGGCACTTACTAGACATGTGACCGTGAACAGGTGATGTAACCCTTGTTTGTGTCAGTTTGTTGTTTGTAAAATGGGATATAGCAATGCCTGCTTTTTTTTTTTTTTTTTT